TTCTTGGATTGACTGGTTGACATGCTTTTCCTCTGGGCCTCTTGGTGAGGACATGTTAGTCCATAAGAAACTTGGGCCTCAAACTGGATTTAAAAAAATTGAAACCATTGGTTTAAGAAGAATTGGGCCCAGAATTTAGTTTCCTTGATCCTTACTATACTTGCATGGATAATTATTAGGCCACTAAAATTTATTCCCCTTTCTACATATGTGAATTATTGTTGGGCCTACTATGGCCGTAATTTCATTTGGGGGTTGCACAAAAATAGCAAGAAAGGATTAATCTAGTCTTGTCTAAAATGATGAAAATTTCATCATCACATCATCATTTGTGCAAATTACGTACTTGAGGAATGAATATCAACTCTTATCTCTATCATTTCCCTCCATCAAGTTTAGTCAATGGACTTATAATGCTTCCCTAAATTCAATTTTTCATCCTATTGAAAAATATCCTTGCATAGATCAATTATTATAAGGTTGGACAAATGTCATAAGCTTCATATTTCAATGGGCAATTTGGGGTCAATTATTGTGAATAACAAGAAAAATTGGTTCAAGATCTTCAAGGTAGTTATCCATATTGACTACACTTTATTTGATGCATATAATTGAGCTACATACCATATTGAATGTTTTGCTCCCTCAGCCCAAATTATCATGTACGTGCCCTTAGAAAATTTTTATCATCATTATAGGCATTTGGAGAAAATTTGGGATTTGATTGTGGATAAAAAAAGAACTCAATCATAGTAATATGAACACAACACATGCATTCGCTTTCAAACTCTCAAATTCCATTTGAAGAGTCACTATCGAGCTAGTTTGGTTGCCACTTGCTACTGGAATCTGAATATTATGCAAAACTAATGTTCTAGCAAGATTTAATGCGATAGTAGGATTTCAATGAAACTAAATTCTTTTACTATTTGCTAACTTAAAACAATTATGCCACTTGATTTATGTGAATGTTCAAATAATTTTCCACCATTTGCAAGATTAGAACATGGAACTATGTAAATGTTCTGCAACATCATTTTTATGTATTTGTTGATATAAAACATTGTCACTTGGATGGAGATACTTTACAAGGCTACAATGCATGCCTAACATTTGTAAAATTTCCAGGCTTGGATATCTCCTACTTAAAGGAACTACATCTCTATTGTTCGAGGCACGCTATAAGACATNAAATGTTCTGCAACATCATTTTTATGTATTTGTTGATATAAATCATTGTCACTTGGATGGTGATAATTTACAAGGCTACAATGCATGCCAAACATTTGTAAAATTTCCAGGCTTGGATCTCTCCTACTTAAAGGAACTTCATCTCTATTGTTCGAGGCAAGCTTTAAGACTTTGCACATCCGAGGCTAGCTTGCAACACCTCGCATCATTGAAGGTGAGCCCTAGCTCATAGTCTTCTTATTATTGAAGGCGAGCTATAGATTGTGGATTCTTACTATCAGAGGCAGCATCTTTTGGAGTCCTCATTCCTTGAAAAAAGAAAAAGGCGGCATTTTGAAGTCCTTATTCTTTGAATAAAGGAAGATGCAGCATCTTGGAGTCATCATTCCTTGAATAAAGGAAGATACAATATATTGGAGTTCTCGTTCCTTGAATAAAGGAAGACGCGACATATTTTGTAATCCTCGTTCTTTGAAAAAAGGAAGAGGCAAATTGCTGATGATTATTTCTAGCCTCGCGAGATGTTTATTCCTCCCTTTCACTATCGTCGAGCCAAGTTGTAAGACCTCGTCTTTCAGATGCCGCTTATAAGACTCCGATAGTTCAAGAGCTATTCACGAGATGTTTATTCCTCACTCTACCATATTATTCTTGGCTTCGTGGGATGTTTATTCTTCGTCTCACCAGATGCTTAATTCCGGTTTCGCGAGATGTTTATTCCTTGCTTCCCACTACACCAAAACAGATCTTTCGCAACGGGCAAAAAACGTTGCCAATACCCTTTTGCAACGGTCGCTCGTCTGTTGTGGGATGCGATGTTGCCGTAGGGTTTCAATCATTTGCAACGGTCGCAGACCGTTGCAAAAAAGGGTTTTTTTTTATTTTTGACCAACAAAAGTAGGAAGAAACATCATATATTTTATGCACAAATATTTTAAGACTATGAAATTAAAATTATAACTTAATTATGAAACATTTACTCCGTACACAATAAACATAGAATACGTACTATTTATTCTCAATACACAATAAAACACTCCAATACAAAAAAGATCACGA